TGAATAAGACCAATCAACTTGCTCAACAATACAAACCCTTCCATTGTCAGTCTCGAACTATTCATCAGCTCTAAACGAATAGGTCGCACGCATGTTGGTACCTATTTAGTTTTCTATTCCATTATTTCCATTATTTCAAGTATACTGCTAGCAGTCGATAACATTGTGCAATACTATCCAAATCAACTGATCAACAATAAGAAGCAGCATGACGTGTTCCATTGTTTTAGTGGTAAAACTGGTTACAATACGCTTGTCTATATGCGTATATGGTTGAGTTCATGTGTAGCATTCGAACGTGGTTGAATCATATGTTTCGATAATAGAATGAATGCTAAACGATGGCAATCGTGGGTTGCTATCAATGCTCTCTTTGTAATAGCCGGTGACTCTGCTACACCATTGCTCGTATACAAGTGTGACTGGGATAATGTGCCAAGGTTGGATACTTTACGGGTTTTTTCAATCTTTTTTACATTATTATAGGTGTTGCAATCTATGAATTGGCAACTGTGTTAATCTTGATTAGTTTCACACGTCGTATACGTCGATAGGACACCGAAAATAGTTCATTCATAAGAACATTTCTTAAATTATTTCGTACTCATTTATTCATCTTTGTACTACCAATTGCTTATGGCCTCAACTATATTCCATATACTATTACCTACAGAGTAAATAAACCTAAACAATCGTATTTTTCATGTGATATTTCAACTGGAGACTATTATAAGAGTGTTAGCAGAAACACTGCAGGGAATACCGGTTATTATGGCATGGCTACTCTTTGTTTATCCATCGAAAGTGTATATGACCGAGTTTTATTTGAACACATGGTTAGGACAGTGTATTCGTAAAATGTTAAGCTTGTTCAAAGCAAGTGTGAACAAAAAAATGAATGTTCATCCTTTTACTACCAATTGCATAAATAATGAACATGATAACAGAGAGTTACAAAATGCAAATTAGTAATTGAGCAGTATTCATTTATTATTGTATTCTATGCTTTATGTTACTCATGATAAGGGTTGATCATTTTTTTTGCTTTCAGTTTTTGACTTATACGTTTGCTATGTAAGAATAACCTATTCTAACTGCAAACACTTTCTCAATAAACAAGAGTAAAACTAAACGCTAGAGAGATCTGTCACCAGTTGGCACATGTTTCATTATATTTTGGTTTTGATTTATCATTGAACACGAAAATAAAATTATCAAAAGATTGTATTTACACATAACACTACATCTAAACGTGACAGATATTTTTCGTATATTGTATTCATCACTAATGAACGACATTTGAGTAGAAACTGCTTCAGTCTTTTTTTATATAAAATAGAATATTTTTGAACTAAAATAATTGACTTTCATGAAAATATTGACGGAAATGTATGAATGTGGACCGGCGTGATTACGGATGCGGATGTGGTCTTGGCTTTTTATTGCAGTCGAACTCACACCTACATCCATACCCATTCACTCCGACATCTACATCTACAGATTCACAACCACATACACGCGCACGCACACAAACACTCATACAAAACTATACCCACACTCTTACCCAGATCCACACCTACATTCACTCACACCTAACCCCGTCCAGCATCTATATTGCAAACCGAAATCTATACCCATATGCTCTCGAACACTCATCGTACTCGTCGTATTTCTTTCACCGTCTATTTGGGTAAAAGCCAACTCATAATTGAGCATTGCAAACTAAAACGGCGTAGATATATGCGGTAAAAGAGGATTCACAAATCCAAACCCACAACGTAAGAAACGATTGAAGGTTTGAATATCGCTGTTGGCGAAAATGAGAATAACAATCTTTGATTTGCCATCACATTTTCATTCCCATCCACATACTCTCACTCTCAATACTCTGACATGTGCACATCGATGGCAAAATCCAGTCCTGAGAAGATACAACAGCCTTGTGTCAACAATCGTTGGCAAGCTATTG